ATGCCAAAAGTGGCTCGTGTTGGGCAGGACTTCAGGCCCTTCCAAGACACGAGCTGATGCTCTTATTTCAGTTCCTGGAACACATCTGTCCCTCTTTGCTAATTAAAAGGACAGCAATAACGAGTGGGCACAAACTGGTGTCTCCAGCCCTTGCAGGAGCTGTTTCTCCAGGACAGGAAAAAGAATCCGCATCTGCCCGGTCGTGCCCTTCTCACGCCATCCCCGGCTGCAGCTCAGCCCGCTCAGCAGAGCACCAACCCAGCATCCCTCTCCCGGGGCTTCATTCAAAACGTGTGAAACTGCTTGGGAATAATCATACCCCGGCGCTCCGCATCTCCTCCAGGGAAGCACTTCACAGGGATTATCTGCCTATCTCCCTCTGGTATTCATAAGGTCTCAGCCACTGGTATCTATGTGAGATTAAGCCTCGACACACCCTACGAGATAGGTATGTTAAGTGTTGCCGTCCTTGTTTTTACCAACAAGGAGGTTTTGCAAGATGCTGAAAGCCCCGGCCAGCCCAGGTGGGGAGCAGGGGGCGAGTCTGGCAGCGGCTGGTGAGCAGAGCCAGCTCATGCCCGGCCAAAGAGCTTGGCACTGCACGCTGCGAGAAAGTAAGGTGGTCCTTGCTTTGATCTACAGGCCAGGCACGCGCGAGGCGAGTCTAAAACCTGAGCCTTACTGAACAAGCGGTGCGCGGGGGAAGTTAACGGCACTCGCGCTGCTGCGGAAGCTGAAGTAGGAACGGCTCTTGCTGCAGCTCCTCGGGTTTGGATTCGGGGCCAGATTCTGGCTGTATTTTTTTCCCCATGCAAACACTACAGGGCCCAAATTGTCCCAGAGGGCTGGAGAGGGGGACCCGAGCAGCCTACCAGACTCTCAGATTTTCTTTTCAATATAGAAATTATTATTGTTATTGTTGTTATTATTGTTATTTATTGACTTACCAGTCTGCCGACTTCATTGTTGTGCAGGTTGATCAGCGCCCGGGTGTCGTGTCCCGTTTCCAAAGCATCCACAAAGAGCTTGGAAACCCTCTCCCCAAACTCCACGTTGTCGCTGCATCCTCCCCAGACCCAGCCTCGGCCTCCTGCAAGACAGATGCACGCTAAGCGCAGAACCACCCTGTCGGGCCAAATTCTGCCCTGGAATCCAGGGAGGGCTGGAGGTAGGGGTGGAGAGACGACGCCAGCCCCCCTCGAGACGGCAGCTCACCGACGCGGCCGTTCCTGGAGTCATCGCAGCCGCAGCTCTCGAAGTCTCCCATGCTGCAGTTCCTGGTGAGGGTGTACATGACGCCGGCCGAGCTGATGGCGTGCACGAAGGATGTTTCCCGGGTAGCTGGGGGAGAGGGGGGAAAAGCTGTCACATGCAGGCACGGACATTGGGCCTGGCTTAGTGGGAATGAACCTCTCCTTGCGCTGCAAAGGTGCAAGAAGGAAAAAAAAAACCCGCCACCCAGTTTGTGCAAAAGGGGAGGTGCTTTGGAAACGAAATGCGCCTGGCCAGGGTCTCTCCAGGCCTCAGCAGCGCGGCACAATGCGATGCGGGCGTCCGCGCGCGGGATGGAGCTTCTTGGCAACAGCGGGATCTTATGGCAGCGCCTGGGTCCTGCTCCGGCCAAGGTGAGTTATCCCTCGCTTCGCCTGCCTCTGCCCTTCCCTGCTCGGGGGGGATGGGGATGGGGATGGGGATGGGGATGTACGTGCTTTGATCTTGCCTGCCGGGGGCATCGTCATTGATCTTGGCTCAGCCAGCGGTTGAACCTGTGCTAACTGCTGCCTGCACCCACGCTGCTGGCTTAGTTTCTTTTTTGGCTTTCCTACCAGGCTCAGATAGAGATGCTGCTCTGGGAAAAAGAGGATTCTGCTTGTCGAAGCAGCCAGTATTCAAATATATCCCCAACTTTCCTATGGAGGCAGTTTCTCCGTGCACGTCCCTGGTTTCTCTCACCCCCTCTCCCACGCGTCCCCCGGTTGTGAGCCCCGGAGCCTCCGGCACCGCGCTCCCTGGGACGCCGCAGGGCAGGAGCGAGCCCACGGGACAGCGTTGCGGGAAGGACCGAGCCCTCGCCCAGCACGGGTGGAGGCCCAGGGGGAGCCCGGGATTGCTAGCAGAACGTTAGCGCTATTTATCATATGGGGTTAATACAGATGGAGAAACCAACCGCGACATTTGGGATGCAGGAACCCTTCCCCATGGGTCAGTCTAATCAGCGGCCCCCGCTCTCCCCAGAGCCATCCCAGCTCCTTCCCAAAGGCCGCCGGGGCCGGGCGCACTCACCGCTGCGGAGCCGGTTGTGGGTGGAGAGCTGCAGGGCGCTCTCGGGGCAGTTCCAGCGCTCCCACCCAAACTGGAACTTGCACTCCTCCATCCCGCTGTGCGCCCCGGCCGCCACGCTGCTGGAGTACGTCAGGTAAGCCTGGCAGGGGAAACAGCAGGGTTAAAATCCACTGCCTTTTACCGCTTCTCGATGGCAACGGGCACCAGCGGGTTGCGAGTCCCTTCTCTCACTACTCGGCAGGACTTGGGGCCGATATGCTGCGGGAAATCGGGTTCCTTGGAAAAGTCCCGTTTCCCATTCGCAAACCAGAATCGCTCTACTTAAGCTCCCGACGGTCCATGTGTTAATTACCTTGGGTCCTGTCATCAGAAAGTTATTCACAGACCTGAAACAAAGAAAAGAAAATGGATTGCACCGCTTACCGCAGGCTGAAGAGCATCCCTACGGCCGCTGTTCCGCGGGGCTGGACCCTACCATGCTGCTGCGTGGAGGACGGCGCCATAGACCCCCGCGATGGAGAGGATGAGGAAGGTGCCTCTCTTCATGGCTGTCACAGGGAGCGGGGCTGGATCCCTTCCGCTGATCCGTAGCTCTCCGCACCGCGGGACCCGAGGGAGCAGGGCCGCCTCCCGCCGCTCCTTCCCAAGGTGAGCTATCGGGATGGGGGAAGGCTGCGGGAACCTGCAACCCTGATATTTATAAGGTGAAGTTGTGAATAGTCAAAACCCCCCATTCATTTGCTACCCAATGACTTAATGTGGTAAAAAAGCTCCCGCTCCAATGGGTGACAAGGAACCGCCTAAGGTTGCACTTCAAAAGGCGGCGCGGTGTCCCTGGGAGCGGGATGGTCTGGAGGAGAGCAAACTTCCCTAACAATGGGACACTTTTAACTCTCGGCCCCACCGCCAGCCATCCCTTTCTCTTGGCCCCGGGTCCGCTTGCCTTCTCCTTTTCATCCTCTGCTTGCCAGCGGAGGCTCAGTCCCTGCGTCCCTCCGAAATAACAAGCTGATGCATTTCTATAGTTCCCCTGCTATCTGCCTGCGAGATCCTACGAGAGCTCCCCGAGGAGTTTTAACGGCCGTTCTGTAAAGATCTATGGGGCATAGACCTCCCAGGTCTTCTTGATTTGAAGAGACGCGTTTAACGGCGGGGCTTTTTTCCCTCCTTGCCTCTTTATGATGAAAGTTTCTGCATTTCCATCCTGATAACAGCGTGCACGGCTCGGGAGTGCTTGGAAATCTCTCTAATTTACGCGGCTGCAGCTTGGGAACCCTGTGTGAATCATTTATGTGGTTTGCTCCATGCTCCAACGCTGTAATTAGGGGAACGGTTTTCTGGGGTTAGCGATTCCCCTACGGTGACGGCAGCCGCAGCAGAAGCCGGGCTGCTTGCTGGCTCTGCAGGCAGGAGCGCTGCCCGTACCCCCCGAGCGGAGCGAGGGGCCTCCACCGCTGCCGAGCCGCTGGCCATGCTCGGGAAAGGAAAATCCTTATCAGAGGAAACCCAGAAAAGCCTCTTAATAGTTATGGCCAATATCATTAAGGGCTGTAAAGAGCCGTAGTGCTGCGGATGGAGCAACAGGGAGATGCTGTTCATGGAAACTTCTTGGTCTGTTTTGCTGGGGCTGAATGGTCCCAAGTGGGGGCTGGCTCGCCCTGGGCAGGATCCTGCCTGCTGGGCAGGGCAGCGGGG